TATACACCTCTAAACAGCTACGACCGTCTAACAGAGTAGTTTCTCGTCTTCGTCTAAATATCTGTTCGCCGTAGCGTGTTTTTCACTTTTCCTTGATCTCCCTTTTAATTTCGGTAGTAACAGTAATAGTTTGTAGATTGTATTTAGTATCGCTATCAGTGATATAATAGTTAGTAGTAGTAGTAGTAATAGTCGTAGCGATAGTAGTAGTAGTATCAGCAGTAGCAGCAATAGTAGTAGTAGTAGACGTAGATAATAACAACAACGAAAGTAATGGTCACGCTACTATCGATAGTGGTAACGATACACAGTAGTAATAGTAGTAGTAGTATTTAGTAATAGTAGTAGATAGTAGATAGTGATGGTGATAGTGGTGGTTGTCATCGTTCTCGTGATAAGTTACTCGTGACAGTTCAAAGAGTGAGGCTGCGTTTTAGTGATAGTATCTGCGGTAGCGGTAATAGTATTAGTAGTACGAGTAGTAGTAGCAGTAGCAGTAGCAGTATTAGTGGTAATAGTAGTAGTAACAGTAATAATAGTAGTTTAGTAGTAGTAGGTTTTTAGTTAATAGAATTTAAACGGTAGTTACTAATTTTCTTCGTTATAGTAATAAATTTATCCTCTGCCGACTTATAATTCGCGTTACTTTAATTTTATTTTAATTACTTTGTTTTCGCTTCTCTTTGGAATTAGCTAGGCTGGTACTTCCGATAAATGTTTCCCGTCTTTTATTTTTTACTTTTTTTTCTCTAACTAAATTAGCGAGGCGAAAAGTTCAAGTATCGTAATAAAGGCGCGTGAAACGTAAATCTCTGTTTAATTATTGTTTTGTTTACCCTTGTTTCGCTCTCTTCGCGTCTCAGTCGCTCGATCAAATTCGTTCTCCATTCTTTCACCGTTGCAAACTTTCGCAGACATACCACGATTCACACGATTTTTGTTCTCCTTTAAAAACACTCGTACCAATTACGCTCATTCGCTCGCTCGCTCGCTCGTTCGTCCATATTTTCTGGCAATATCCAAAATTTCGCTTCGTCTTAGCCTTGCTCGTTTTTTCGTCTAATAAAAGATAGAGATGAGATATATCCCTCGATAAAACTCGCGTCTAATTTACCTAAACTGTATAATCGAATAATGGAATCGCTGTTATTTTTTTCATTTTTTCTGCTTTACTTGCGTCCTACCTATTTATATTTTCCTCGTTCTGTTTCTCTAGTTACGCACGTTTACTTGATTTTCTTTTTTTCTCGATTTGTTTCATCGGTTTTTTTTTTCTGAAGTTTATACCTCTAACTGCGTGTTCCTGGCTCGCTTCGCAACGTCGGACTTCCTGCTTCATCGTAGTCGGATTATTTCCGTCAGGGATGGCTCGATTCCTCGAACGAACGAGTCTTTGTTAATCGGTGACCTGGCACGTACAACGGAATTACCAGAATTATTATTATTATTTATAACGAATAAGGTAAATCGCGATGCGTTGTCCGGAGTGATCGGACGAATCGAAACGCCAGCATTCTCCCTCGTGTTCTTGACGAATCGTGATGAGGGAAACTCGAAATTGGAAATTCTTTGATGCTTGTTTGCGTTTCGACGCGTAATTAACGGGCCAATCGACGGAAATTCGTCAAGGAATCACGAAAATGTCTGGATCGGGGCCCGTTGTACGTCTCGCGGTGTTCGAAGGGTCGATTCTAAGCGGAAAAAGTCGTGGATATTACGCTTCTTTCGTTTCGTTTTCACTGAGAATGGTAAAATGGCAGTCTTGACGATTTTTTGTGATGCGCTTTATCGCCCGGGGAAAGAGGCGAAACATCGAGACGACAGCGAAGAGGTAAGAAAAGCGGCGATTGGTCTGACAATTCGATACCTTTCCGTTTTTATTTATCCTCTATCGTATTCTTAGTTTTCTCTTTCTCTCTTTATCTGCTCCTGTCTCTTCGATCACAGCCTTTAATGTCATATTTTTACTCGTCAATCGTCTTTTTACCTAATTATTAACTTTATATTTTCTTATTCGATCTCCTTGAACATCGAGTGGAAAAAGAAGTTAGCTTATGGACCAATTAATTTTGTAATTTGTAACTTCGATTCTCGATCATTCGTCAAAAGAATAAGGCAATGGATTAGAATATTGTTTACAAAATGTACAAAAAGAAATTATCACAGTTCGCAATTTTCATCGAACGAAGCAGAAAATTATTCTTGGTCTTTTAACGCATAGAAACATTTACAGAGAAATATCATGGCAATTTGTAAATTTATACATACACGTATTCGACAAACGCTTGAATAAAAGATATGCCATAACCTTAAGTTTAAATTCGCCCATAAAGAAATAAGCGAGAGGAAGAGAAAATTGTAAAATCAATATAGAAATTAATCGTTGAACGACTGCTAACCATCCGCCATCTTTTCCGCAACCTCATTCGAACGCAAATCGCAATCGAATCGTTTGTTTTTTCTTACAACACTGCCTCGCTAAATGAATCTCTTTGTGATACTGCTTTCGCTACTACTTGACTCCCTCCCAGTTTCAAAATCGCGTTCGGACGAATAAAAAAAAACCGTATCGGTCGCGATATTCGAACACGGTTACACGCGCCATCGGCAGACCACATTTCCGGCCATTGATCGCAACTTTCCACCCTGCCAGTCGGCTTTCCTCGTGCCAACGTTGCTCGACCACGCACTTTCATCTTCCTTTCGATCGTTTACAAACTTATCTCGCGTCTTTCGCACCGATCTTTTACGATACCGAGTCGCTGATTGACACAGAAACATCGCTACGGCTCATTTCTGATCCGTCTTGTTCGATTCGCGTCTTCGATCGTGCACAACTGTGTCTACAAATTTAACCAGCTATAATTACACTGGACTCTTTGTATATTGCCACCTTTGTACCGATTTTCGGGCACACCAGGATCGTCGTGGTAGATCAGTGGAAATTTTTTATTTATATTGCACTATGTAAATCATTTCTGAAATCGCGGGTTGGCTTTGAGAGTGTTAAAAATAAATAATGTTTATACACGAAATTACTCAAAATATTGTATGTAGCCAAATGGAGCCTGGTTTACATAATCAGCCCCGGTTTCATTAGCAGACCCGTTATGCACGATCGACGACTGGTCAATCGTTAAACGGATACGCACGCTCGTTCTTCAAACATGACCGTACACTGCGTACGCTACGTAAATGCTTTTGTACGCGTGTATGCAAGAGTGTACGCTCGAGAAAAGAAATTGCATTCCAATGGTTCTCGCATTCAAGTACGTACAGCAGTGTTTTTGTCCGTCAGTGGAAAATATAAAAAAAAATTGTCTCTCCGCTGCAAGACACACTTGTTTTCGTTAGCTGGTCGCCGTGCAACGTCCACGATGTTCTCTTAGAAGTCTTCTTCGTTTCTTCGATTCACCTTCTGTCCCCCCACCCTCCCCCCAACCCCTTCACCGCGTCATTTTCTCTGTTCTCCTCTTCCGCTCGATCGTGGCTTCGTTCGTTTTTCGCGCAGTGTTGTAATCATTAAAACGAATAATGCTGTATTTTTGTTCTTTTTTAGCGTACCATCTCGCCTACGTGTATACTCGATATATAATTTACATCGATAATAATTAATTAGTATTTGTTTTTTCTTACAACACTGCCTCGCTAAATGAATCTCTTTGTGATACTGCTTTCGCTACTACTTGACTCCCTCCCAGTTTCAAAATCGCGTTCGGACGAATAAAAAAAAACCGTATCGGTCGCGATATTCGAACACGGTTACACGCGCCATCGGCAGACCACATTTCCGGCCATTGATCGCAACTTTCCACCCTGCCAGTCGGCTTTCCTCGTGCCAACGTTGCTCGACCACGCACTTTCATCTTCCTTTCGATCGTTTACAAACTTATCTCGCGTCTTTCGCACCGATCTTTTACGATACCGAGTCGCTGATTGACACAGAAACATCGCTACGGCTCATTTCTGATCCGTCTTGTTCGATTCGCGTCTTCGATCGTGCACAACTGTGTCTACAAATTTAACCAGCTATAATTACACTGGACTCTTTGTATATTGCCACCTTTGTACCGATTTTCGGGCACACCAGGATCGTCGTGGTAGATCAGTGGAAATTTTTTATTTATATTGCACTATGTAAATCATTTCTGAAATCGCGGGTTGGCTTTGAGAGTGTTAAAAATAAATAATGTTTATACACGAAATTACTCAAAATATTGTATGTAGCCAAATGGAGCCTGGTTTACATAATCAGCCCCGGTTTCATTAGCAGACCCGTTATGCACGATCGACGACTGGTCAATCGTTAAACGGATACGCACGCTCGTTCTTCAAACATGACCGTACACTGCGTACGCTACGTAAATGCTTTTGTACGCGTGTATGCAAGAGTGTACGCTCGAGAAAAGAAATTGCATTCCAATGGTTCTCGCATTCAAGTACGTACAGCAGTGTTTTTGTCCGTCAGTGGAAAATATAAAAAAAAATTGTCTCTCCGCTGCAAGACACACTTGTTTTCGTTAGCTGGTCGCCGTGCAACGTCCACGATGTTCTCTTAGAAGTCTTCTTCGTTTCTTCGATTCACCTTCTGTCCCCCCACCCTCCCCCCAACCCCTTCACCGCGTCATTTTCTCTGTTCTCCTCTTCCGCTCGATCGTGGCTTCGTTCGTTTTTCGCGCAGTGTTGTAATCATTAAAACGAATAATGCTGTATTTTTGTTCTTTTTTAGCGTACCATCTCGCCTACGTGTATACTCGATATATAATTTACATCGATAATAATTAATTAGTATTATCTGGTACGATTCCCCTGGTTTCGTCGCCGGCCCGGCTCGCCCCCACCCCCATTCATCTCGATTTATTCTTCGACCGTATTTTGGGCGGTTTAAAGGCTCGAACGACGTTATTTATTTATTTATTTTTACTTTTTTATTTTTCTTCACTTATTAATTTGTTTTCTCGCGAAGCCGCTGCGATTTAATACTCTTCCGTTTCGTTTCGTTTTTTTTTTTTTAATATCGTTTACTTGTTACTTTTTTAACTTTTATTTGTTATATCATTTGTATTGAACACTGGAGTCGGTGGTGTGGGGGATGGTCGGGCGACAAGTAGAGGTTTATCCAACACCATCCCCCGTAATTAGCACGTAGGTCCCTACGTGGGGTGCGCGTGTTTATCGTTAACACCTCCGAAGCGGCTGTCTTGTGTCTCGATTTCGTTTCGCGTCGAAACTGAAATCCGCCACCTCTTCTCACATTTTATTACCGTTTTTCTTAATCCTTATATCTTACTCTTATTGTTACGCGTTTAATCGTTTAACGTCGCTTCTCGACACCTGCCCACGCGATCGCTCCCCTTATTTCTTTCTTTCTGTGACGTTCTTCGACTATTCCGGCCGAGAATTTTAACTCGGTTGCTCGTCGCGTTGGAAGAAATAATGTGGCACCCATTTTAAGTCAGCCGATTCTTGGTCGTTGAATTTCTGCGTTACTCTATCTCTCGTTTCTCGTTTCCTCGCTTTCGTTTCTCGTTGACGCGTAATAATGGATTGGAAGCACCCCTCGTATTGACAGACTATTGGACAGACGGGGCGCGCGAGCGCGCATGCGCAGTCGCGTGCTATCCGCAACCAAACGGCCAGTGCGCACGCGTACACGCGCTAGTCGCTAGCGATCCGCAGCTAGCACGACTACGACGACGCGTGAAGGAGGCCTACGTCAGGCACCGAAGGGAACTGTAGCCGTTCTTCGACAACCGTCCCACCACTGGCCACCACGTTGCCATCGTCTCCTTCACTGCAATCACACCAAACGCGTTAAAATCTCCTCCACGTAATCGCGGTTTTCAAAATTAATTAATAACTATCCCTCCTCTGAAACAAGAATGTTCCTCAAGGAACTACCAAGGTACCACCCCTTAATTCGAAACGGATTTCGATAAAAAGATAATACCTAGTAGTCAGACGTCAGTCTCGATGCTCATACAGGCTGGATTAATATTGTTATTATGGCGAGGGTTGCAGTTGGGCTTCTTCGTAATCTCAGGATGAGGCAGCAGTATGCCTTCTTCCAGCTCCATTATGTCGGACGATGATTCCGACATCGGACTCTTCTTCACGTGCTGACCTGCAAAGAGCGAGAAACACGAAAATTCGTCAGGTTTCAAACATCGATAGTTGATCTCGCTTGTCACCGGCTTAAATCTCTGTAATGGATGCTCTTTAAGTAATCCTCTCGGAGCATCCTTCTGTCGAGCAGCTTAATCAAGCTACTTTTCATGCCCAGTCAAGTTCGCTCGAGACTGGAATTACTTTTGTCGGACACTAATTGATAGTCAAGGCGTCGTAGATTGTCAAGGAAGGCGTGAAAAATCGAACGGCTAAGTTCGAGCCAAAGCGGATTAAAGTCAGGGTGAACTTCACCCTAGAAAGGCGTAGACACGCGATATCGGTACATATTCTGCTCGGGATTGCGAGACAATACGACTTACGTCCGAACCGACCGAACAGAATATTTATCGAATGGCCATTTGCTACGAAAGTGCGATCGAAATTTACGATCGAAACATACGTTCTAGAACGTTTTATGCGCGGAGGCCCTGTCGTAAATTTCGTACCTAAAGTGCCAGGGAGATACGGGCAGCTGGTCACGTGATTAAAGTTCTGCGACTGCATCTCTTCCTGGTCAGTCTCACGATGATAGAAGTAGTTGAAGTTGGAGACGATGACGGGAACAGGCAGAGCGATCGTCAGCACACCAGCGATCGCGCATAAAGAACCGACGATCTTCCCCCAGACTCCAACGGGCCTGAAGCACATCGAAAATTACGTTTTGATTCGTTGTCGTTCGCGCTAATCGCTCAGTAGCGTTCAATAGCTTCGTTCCACGCTAATCTAGAAACTCAGTGCTAGGTGTGGTGTTTCTATTTTGTGTGAGTCTGCCGCGTCGAGTCGAGTGTGGCGCTACTTATGCGGTACTGGAGGCTCCTATAGATACACACGGACCACCGGCTGCTCGTCTTACAAATAGAGATTAGTCGTGATACGAGACGAATATAGAACTAGTAAAAAAAGATCTACTTTTTAAAGACTTTTAAGAATCGAATAAAATTGGAATCGATTCATTTGACCATGCGAAAACTTCGAGTTACAAATATTCATCGTTACCGCTTGTGTTACAAATAGAGATTAGTCATGGTCAAATGCAATTATTCTTGACCGAGCATTTACTCGCTTCTTTGATCTGCTCTAGAGCTTCTCTTCGGCTTCTTGAAGCTCTTAATGACTCACATATTTGTTTGCATACGTTCGAATTCCAAGAAAGATTCCGATATCGTTCGCTGTTGAATCTAGAGTGTCAAGGCTCGATTCTCTGAACGAGTTGTCCTTCGCACTTTTTATAGAATTATTCGATAAAATGCAATGGGTAAATTGGCAACGAGAGATTCGCTTGACTAATCCGTGTTTGTGAAAGGCAGCATAAACCGTGTGTACTTATAGTATTTCGCGTGTTGTCTAACAGAAGCGGGCTCTCTAGGCTAGACTAAGGGACTAACGTGACTCTCTAAAAAAAAGGCTCCACTCTCATGTGCCGATGCACCGTTCCAAACAAGCGCGTGCCATTCCGTTGCAGAGATCCGATTGAATCTTCTAACGGTACGACATGCAATTCCGCTACGATTTCTCGCTTTTCGATTCGTTGACTGTATCAAATAGTTCTTTAACTATTCATTCTCCTTAGTTCAATAGCGTCTACGAACGACCTCGATGATTTCGAGCGTATAATTGAACTTCCTACAATTTCGAACTGGAGACGTAGGAATCTGAGGATATACAGATTTAGGAATTTAGGAATCTACTAGGGACCTGGAGATCCAGAGAAATGTATTGTAAGCGGATCAACTGATCTTTCTCCAATCATCTGTTAATTTTCGACGCGTCAAAATCATCGACTCGATCGTTTCTCCAATCGTATCTTCGTTTTCCAATGTTGGTTACACTTTGACGCGAATATTTCCGACCGGATGTGAAAGAGAACGAAAAGGTTCGGCTTCTGAATGATCGTACAGCGGATCATGGGACGCGGCGACGATTATCCTCGACGAATCTAAAGCCGCGAAACGGACGAGTTCTTCACGGGTGAGTTTGATCGAATAACAGTCACCGTATACGCTCTACGCGAACAATACTCGGTTCGAGATCAAAGACAAGAACGAAGAATTCACGGCTCGACGAACGCTTTGCAACTGGATGGATAGCACCGTTTTCCTTTTCTATTCGTCGTTAAATGAACATTGCTACCTCGTTCTTTTCTTTCCCCGCGCGAAAAAAGAAAGCGGAATTCCTCGTTTCGTGTCGATTAATTTCGTTACGTGGATGTGAACTAATCGATGAGTCGGTTCTATCGAATTAATTGCAGAAAAAATAAGAAAAGAGATCATTCTTGCAGGTGTCACTGTACTCTGGGCCTTTGTGATCCATGACTGATGGTGGTAGCAGTGATGACAGCATTGTGAGACACGGTAAAATGATTTTTTAACAAGAGAATCGATCGGGATTATTTTTGCGAGGATTTGTTTGATCGCGAAAAGCATGCATAAATCATTTTAACGAACAGAGTTTGCGAACGAATTCGATTTTGGATCGTCAAAGAATTGTCTGCAAATATCGAGTGTCGCAGGATGTCGGGATAAATAAAGGATGATCTTAATCGTAACATAAAAAATACCGATCTTAAAAGGCATAAGTGATCGAGTTGCACTTTGAATTTTCACGCAATTTCAAACGATCATTTATCCAATCTCTTGACGCAGGTAAGGTTGCTTTTAATTTGTGATTATAAAGTGGCACATTAATTAATTTTTTGAAACGGTAACGAATACGAGTGACTATTAATTAGGTTCGTTTCAAAGTCGATGCCATACGATCGAGCGTTCGAACGAAAGGTTTCGGAAGCTGCGATCAGTCGCGGTAATGGGAAACGAGAATCAACGTAGTCGAGGGTGGAAGCTCTGCGCTTTGAAAGTACGCTACAACGAGGAAAGCTGGTTACGCGAGAAGCGAGCTTTCCGATAGAAGAAACGAGTGACGCCGGTTTCGCGACAAAGGAGTCTGGCTGGATACGTGCATCGTAATGGAAAACTGGAACGGGTCTTCTGCGTGCCTCGCACATAGGGTGTCTCGAGAAATTTTACGATTTATCAAACTTCTTATATTCCGAACGAAAAGTAGTACGAATTATAATTATTTTTAGACAATAATCGTGTGTTCTCGTTTCGAATTTTTTCTACGCTACACGTACCTAAAATCCCATCTTATATTTTACGAATAGTTTCGGCACTAGAAATCCTATTTTAAATCGAGGACTCCAAAATTACACTTGAAATCATCTCGCACTCGAAATCCACTTTGATAAACTGTTTCATAGAGAACCCTACATGTTCCGAGACTAAAGGCTGTCCTAGAAAGGAATTGTATCTTTGGTACGTGCAAATAATTGACAATTCGTACGGTGCTCTTCCCACTTGCTGGAAGTAATTTCACCGTGACAAACGTTTCAATTACTTTCCAACTACGGTTGCTTTCAGACTACGACCACGTTCAACCTTAAACTAGAATTTCTAAAGAGCGAAGTATAGAGGCTACGTAACTGCTTAATATTACAGGTCCACCTACTACTCGCGTTTCCAGCTTCCCGAAACAGGGGTAGTTAACAATTTACTCGCGAAACCGGCATGCTAGCGTCTTCGGTTAAAAGACATTAGGTTGCGGAGTGTTCCCCTTCGAAACGCTGCCGGTGCGAGCCGTTTTCGTGTCGGCGCGATCGAAATCGTCTCGATTTCTCGGCCCTTTCGGCTAAAGGGCGTTCCTAAGAAACGTAACAGTGTCGGTTGCCCAAGGACACTTATTGATTTACGCGAGACAATTTCTCAAGTAGCCAGAGATCTCGAGTCTCTCTCGACAGATGCTCTCGAATCTCGAGGGTTTACCGCGAAACAAGAAACGATCTTTAATCGGGAATCTTGCCAGATATAAGCTTACCTTTCGATATCGTATTTGCTCGAATTGTTCTCGAGTACGCTCGTTTCGTGGAGTTAACGCGTGACCACCTAACGCGTGGCCATTTAATCCGTGGCAACGCGCGGCGATCTTGTACAGGGTGATACAACCCTTAACTGTTACTCATGAAGATATAACAAGTACTCCACCTATCGCATGCTTGGTGGTATATTCTATACTAAATTTATGAAACTCGAAATATCTGAATATCGCCCGTGATACAAACGAACCATATTACTTCACTTTCATCGGCAGTCTCAGAATCTCGACTCTATAATTCAATCCCAAGTCAATATTTGCAATCGTCTCGACACGTCTCGACGACATGATAGTTGCAACGTTTAGCGAGTAGAAAAGGTAGCGATTAGTTCGAAACGATAAAGAAGGAGCGGAGGGGAGTCTGAACGGAAACGGAAGTTGGAAAAGTGGGGAAAATCATGAGTTACGCGAACGGCTGAATCAGCACGGAATGGAAGAAAGTAATAAAGTGAAGAGACCGTGATTCCCTTGACGATTGTATAAAAATTAAATAACGAGCGGTCGATGTTTCGATCGATGCGTCTCGCTGGTGAGTCGAAGCGTGTCGGAGAAAATGTTGCGAGCAGCACTTTATTAATATACAAGATGTTTCAAAACAGAATTTACGCACGAGATTGAATGCTAATTCGAAACGAAATTTCCACTGTTCTTTATTATTACTTTGTAATAGTCAATAAATTCGTTTAAGAACTATGTTCATGAGATAATACAGCAAAAGTTCAGAGTATACAAATTTAAAGAATTAGATTATTAAACAAGCGAACCACCTGTAGATAGCTAACTCTTATTGATTTATGCATTTACGTATAATGTGATTTTTCTCGAGAAAAAAGTTGCATATATTTTTTCAAATAAAAGTTTTTGTATTGCATCGTCCATTTTGATACACCCTGTATAGGACGGGGAGAACCGGAAGAGGAAATCGACGAGCAAGAAGTAGAAAAACGAAACATTCCGAGCAGGGAGGAAGAAACGGATGCGTGATGACCGAGAAAATTTAAAGTTAGCATGTTCAAGTCTATCAAGCACTAGGTATAATTTCAAATTCTCAAGAAAACTAAAACGTCCAACCAAAAGAAAAGCGATCAAACCTGGATGAAAAAAGGAAAAGATACAGGACACAGGAGAAAGAGAAAGAGTAAAAGGGGTCGTGCTTTCAGGATCGAAGAATTAATCTAGCACAGCGTTTCCCAAATGTAAACTACAGTGTACGATTTTAATCTCAAAGTAATCAAGTTGTTCAAGTGAGGTCCATAGAACATATTAAAATCATCGAATAACGACTTGACACTACTCAATTTATGTTTGCAATTCCCTTTAATTTCGTATGTATTGAAATGACTCCTATAAGCATTGTTTCGCCTTGCATTCTAAAGTCTGACAATCTATCCTGGGTATTAACTGGGATCTTACTGTAATCGTCTTACCGATACAGTGTACCTAACAACGAATTAATTACAATAATCCGAACGGGATCGTGTTTGATCCCATTTCATTCCAGGAAAACATCACGACATTTCCTTGCAAACGTGTAATATTTGAACAAAGGATAAGTAACGGTAAAATGGTAACATTAGAAAAATAAGACAACTGATTTTATTTTACGAAAATCGTCAATATTAACTTTTATTAATACCGTGTCGCCATCTTGCGAGACATGGACAGTACGAATCCTACTTTGATTTCAAGGAAATTTTGGAAAAAAATTGTAAAGCATCGTTTGGGCAGAGTTGGGTCGACTGGGAACGAAATTGGGAAACGCTGAGTACGCTAGTACAATGAAAAAAGTATCAAGGAGCGTAAGTTAAGTTAAGTTAAGTTAAGTTAAGTAAGTATAGTAGTGTGTGTTCGTTTTCATTTTGGCGGGCATTAACTAGAGTCTTAAGTGAAAGTGAGTACATCATACGTCATGTCACCATAGCCCACGGTCGTCATCGTGACAACGGCCCACCAGAACGCGTCCGGAATGGACTTGAAGAACGAATTCTCGGAGCCGGCCTCCGCGAAGTATACCGCCGACGAGAATAGCACCACACCTGCAATGCAAGGAAGAAAACACCGGTTCAGTGGGTTTAACGCCCCCGGTGGCTTTGTACCTCATGTCCCCGTAGCCCACGGTCGTCATCGTGACCACCGCCCACCAGAACGCGTCCGGTATCGATTTGAAGAAGCTGTCCTGCGTGCCCGCCTCCGCGAAGTAAACCGCCGACGAGAACAGCACCACACCTGGAACGCACACAAGAGGAACAGACGCTTCAAGACACGCTACTTTAGCGAGCCCCTTAAAGCCTCTCTAACGCGTCTTTTCGATCCTCCATTTCCGCCGTCACACCTCCGTCCGATTCTCTCTTTCCGTTATTCTTCCACACTGATCCTTTTTATCTCGGTAGATCTTCCCGACGATTCAACGTTGTTTTCTTTTTCTCCTCCTTTTCTTTCTTTCGTTTAGCTGCTAGATCGAGCAATTATCGACGATTTCGTTGGTTCATTGGATTTAGACCGTTGACTATCCGGACTTTTGTGCAGCGCTTCAAAGAACTCAAAGACGAGACACTAGATAGTAAGGACCGAGTTACATTGGCAAAGTGCTAGTATAGCCACACTTCATCGAAGTGATTGGACAGAAAAGAGATCGGTGGAGTCGCTATACGCTGAATTTTACTCTACGTTGCGAAATACTGTTGTTAGTTAATCTACGTTTCTACTCGTCTGTCCTTTTACTCACCTTTTCCGCCACTCCGAGATAGGCAAAGCCGAGTGCTAAAATCCTTTCGCAAACGAAAGCTGGCTCCACCGATTCTCGGATCTGATTTACAGGAGTGAATCACCAACGAGAACAAAGAAATGCATCACTTTCGGTTAATGTAGAGAACGCAACACACGGATGTGTGGTCCCGAGTTGCGGCTACATCAATCAGGATCACTGCACCGTGTTTGTTCTCGTTGAGGATACGCTCCTTGAAACCAACTCATCTTTCACGGTAACTGATCGCGCTCAGTTAAGGCGATTTGGCTGTATTTGGTATTAGCTACTCTACTTTCCCCACCTTTTCAACGTACTGGGGCTAACGATCTGCCACTTGTGCTACCGATGTAACTTATTTTTAGTTTCAAATACACGAGAAGCGATCCGTGATTCTCAACGGATCTTTCCGAAATTTTTGTGTGCCTTCATGCTGTCCTCTTACTTTACATCCATAAATCTTCTGATTTGTTATTCAAAGATTGTTGATCTTGGAACACGATGGGTTTTTCTATTTAAATTGTTCTTCGGTCTTTTTCGTTGGGAGATCATTTTTCTGCTTTGCCGTTGTTGCCGAGACGATTGACACCGAAAAATCGTAAAATTAAGAAACGATGTTCTTGGCGGAAAACAAACAAGAACGTCGTTGGAAGTTTTGCCGAGACTCGAATTAAGAATCGATAGACGAACGTGGGCTGTAAATCTGTCGCGCCAACCACCGATGAATCCACCCTCCGGAATATTCAAGTAGAAATTACTTGTCTTAAAGTGGTAGTGAATATCAATTCGATTTAGCAAGTCCCTCGAATGTTTCCGCTCTGTTTTTCACGGCGATTAAATTGCAAATTTTCCGTTTCTCGGAGGAAGGTTCACCGAATTCGCAGTGTTCTCTTGTTAAAATGCGACACTGGTGAATAAACGTCTATCGCTCCTGAATTCCAGACTCTAAATTAAAATTCGTCACGAAGTAAACACACTTGTCAAAAGAGAGAGAAAGAGAGAAAGAGAGAGAGAGAGGAGAAGAGAAAGAAACAGAAAAGCGGTACACGAGTATTCAAATGTTTCGGTATACTTGGTTAGTAGGAAATGGGACGTGGAAATGAAAACCAAGTTTAAAGAGAGAGAGAAACTGAGGGTAAAGAAAGGTGGTATATAAATGGCATTCCTCGGTAAATACACGAAAGTCCTTTGGACAAGTTATCCCTCGGGAGAAAAACGTCGTTTCCGCTACTGTCCGCTTTGAGAGACGGTCGAACGAGACAGTCCGTTTAGGACTTGTTCTCGTGTTTGGATTGGGACCTATCTAGGACGCGGTCAATCGGATGGAGAAGTGTTTGGGACTTGCCTAATTGGACCGGAGCCTGTCGAGAGAGATAAGGTTCACTCGGGACGTACCTAGGTGATGGAGGGAAGTCATCTGGTCACGCGAATCACTGCGAATACAGTGATCAAAAGCTTAGCAGCGATTCTCTTTCTCCCTTTCTCTGCGTTTGACGTTCCAAGCAGTTGTTTCTCGGGAAAACCTTCGACAAATAGACGAAAGGAAAAGGAAGACTTACCGATGAAGAGGAAAAAGATGAGCAAGCCGAGTTCCCTCATGGAGGCCTTGAGGGTACGGCCGAGGATCTGAAGGCCTTTACTGTGCCTGGACAGCTTGAATATTCGGAACACTCTGACAAGCCTGATGACCCTGAGTATCGCCAGGGACATCGCCTGGTTCGTGCTCTTGTCCTGCGGGCTTACCGGCGCCTTCGGTAGATCGAGTGTCTCCTCCTCCTCGGCCACCACGGTGGC